AGGACTAGCTGTATTACATATTTTATCTAATATTCAGTGCAGCTTCCTATAGTCAATATATGAAGGCAATTCAGAAATAAACCTGTGTTTGGTTATCAATGACAGACAGATACACAACTTTTATTATACACATTAGAAAACTGCAACATTACATTACTTTTTGACATAATCGCCATTCGAATTGAGGCACTTGTCATAATGTCTTACAAAGTTTGAAATTCCTTAGCAGTAGTCGCTCGGCGCCAAATCTGGGCTGGGGGGGCTTGATTAAAAACATCCCAACGGAACTGCTTCAAAAGTTCTTGGGTGCGTCTAGCGGTGTGCGGGCAAGCATCATCATGAACCAACACCACACTGGAAGTCAGCATGCCCTGACACTTTTTTTTTTTTTAAATACATTTTTTTGGTTTTTTAATTTTTTAAAACAAAGTATTCAGGACACACCGTGGTGCTGGGGTAATCAAACATCCTAGAACAAAACATATATACATAGTACAATCAATACATCAAATATTCCCTCTCTTTTTCCCTCAAATAGCATAGTGTATTTAAAATATCCAATTCTAGCTTAAATTTATTCAATCTGAACCTGTTTTTAAGCTTTATAAATTTACAATACCGTAATCAAATTAACTTTAAATAAAGACATTTTCAATTCAGATATTCTTTCCAAATATGTTCTACTTTCTTAATTTTATCAAAATCTTATTTATTTCTTCTTCCACTAATCTCCTGTTTAAGGTAAAATATTAATCTATCCTATACCTATCTAATCCATCAATTAATCAATCTCTCTAAGCTAACAAGATAATATCAGACCTTAAATCATTTCAATCCATTAAACAGAATTCAAATCTCATCCAGTTAATTATCATAACTGATAACATCCATATCATCAAAGAATCACATCATCTTATTAAATTTCAATTAATTAATAATTCAATTCAAATCTAAATCATCTCTTCAATTTTCTTCCATTCCATAATTTCATACAAATGAACCTAACATTCTAAAAAAAACATTCTTAATATTCTAGATTACTTTTAATCCATTATATAAAAATATCTCATTTTTAAACAAAAATATTGATCTATCCTAGACATATCTAAATGTATCTATCTATCTATCTATCTATCTATCTATCTATCTATCTATCTATCTATCTATCTATCTATTCTATACATGTCTAATCCATCAGTTAATCAATCTCTTTAAGCTGACAGAATAGTATCAGACCTTAAATCATTTCAATCCATTGAACAGGATTCAAATTTCATCCAGTTAGTTGTCATAGCTAAGCATCCATGTTATAAAACAAACAAGTCATCTTATTTAATTAACATTCAATTAATTATTAATTTAATCCAAATCTAAAACATCTCTTTACTTCAAACTCATAATCTTAATCCTTACATCAGTCCATAGTTCTAGGTTGCCTTTAATCCAATATATGAAATTTTAAATTTCATTTTTCAGTCTTATTCTAGGTTTCCTCTTATGCCAGGCAGGTTTCCATAGCAAAGCTTCCCTTCCAGGTGATGAATCTCTTTTTGTCGCTTGTAGTGTCATTTGATTCGATGGAAACCATCTTGGTTTCTGCATTGGCCCTCTGTTTCTCTTGTCCATAAAGCCTCATTGCTTGAGAAGTTCAAAACTCAGTCTTTGCTTTTCCTGGTCTTGCTTATAGGGCAAGGTAAAATTCTCTTTATTCTCAGTTAAGTCCTCTTCTTGTATGATCTGTTTTGTAGAGTAGTCTAGTGTAATCTGAGAGTCAGTTTTAAGGTTTAAAGTAGGAGTTCTGGCTCTTAATTCTGTAGTAAACTCTTTTATTGTAGTACATATTTCTTCTTTAGTCTCATAGATCTTTTCCAGTATAAGTCTACAGTTTAAATGTGGTTGAGGCTTCTCCATTTTAGCAATAGTTGAAGAAAAATCCTTTTTCTTTTTTCTTTCTTTTTCTTTTTTAGTGAAGGCTACAATTGAACATTATCCACCCCCACAGATCACACAGTTGGCTCAAATTATCTTTTCTCTTGATAAATAGTTTGAAGGCCAAAACCATCTCATCTCCAAATAGTCAACAATTCCAATATTAACTTTTGACCAGTAGATGTCCTTAGTAAGCTAAAAAGACTTCAAACGCCATTTTTTTCCTTTTTTCCTATTTTTTAAAGGAAGAATGGAAAAAGAAATACTCTACCAATAAAATACCGCTCCAAAAAAACCCCAAAAAACCCAACATTTTTTCTGTACCTCAATGTAAATAGAGATATATAGTTTTTAAAAAAGTTTTAATCTGTCCTTTTATAAAACGCCTTTGTTCCCACACATACAAAAGCCGCTTTTTTCAGATGGGGAAGTAATTCCAACGAAGCTTTTACAGGCAAAAACAATATAGGGTGAAGAGAGGAACAGAAGGAGTCTCACCCAGATCATCTGCGGTGGGTCTCTTACACTTAGATGTCAGTGTGACTTTTGGCTGGTGCAGCAGGGTGGTCGGCCATTTTGCAGGCCGATCTTTACTCCGTTGGCTCTAAGGAGATAGTTGGAGACACAGGGGAAGCTGCCGCCCTCCCCTATCTACCAGCAAGCCTCCTCCTCGGTGGTCACCCCTCCAGGGCGACTTTCGACCCCTTAGGGGGTCTACTGGCAAAGGAAACTCCGGATGGCGCGGAGACGAGTCTCCAGGCACGACCGGCGTCGCCGTATTCCGGAACCGGAAGTCATGCCCCGACACTTGTTATGGATGGCTCGTCTGAGTTTTCATAACATTTCACAGTAGACTTCTGAACTGATGGTCGAACCGCACCCCATGAACTTCACTAGCAGTACTCCTTTGGCATCTTCACATTTGGTGGGATTTTCTATGGCACCACTTCTAGTGTGGTGTTGGTTCACGATGATGCTCACCCACACACCATTAGATGCACCCAAGAACTTTTGAAGCAGTTCCGTTGGGATGTTTTTAATCACCCCCCCATAGCCTAGATTTGGCGCCGAGCGACTACTACTAAGGAAATTCAAAACTTGTAAGATGTTATGACAAGTGTCTCACTTTGAATGGCGATTATGTCGAACAATAATATAATGCTGTATTTTTCTAACGTGTAGAATAAAAGTTCTGTATCTGCGAGTGTCTGACATTGATAACCAAATCGAGGTTTATTTCCAAATTGCCCTCATATTTTAAATGACAAGATCTCTCTCACACACATACCACTGTATATTTGCCTTTAAATTATAGTTTATTAATACTCAACCAATTAATTTCAAAGCAATCGGTGAAGAACTTTTGAAGATTTAAAATTTTGAACAAACGAACATTTACATTTACATATACATATACATATACATACATACATACATACATACATACATACATACATATATATATGTCTTTGGTTATTCGGGTTTTCTCCCGCGTAAAATTGGAAGTGTCTTGGCGACGTTTCGACGAAGTCCCATTTGTCATCTTCAGGCTGGTGTTTTCAGCTTTGTGCTTCGAGGAGCATGAAGCTGAAAACACCAGCCTGAAGATGACGAATGGGACTTTGTCGAAACGTTGCCAAGACATTTCCAATTTTACGCGGGAGAAAACCCGAATAACCAAAGATCTATATGCAGTGTTATCTTCATTTTAGATATCAAAAGGGTTTTGCGGCTCCCAGTTTTGGTGGGAAACGTGTTCAAGTGGCTCTTTGAGTGTTTTGGGTTGCCTACCCCTGTCCTAGCCCAAGGGTAGGCAACCTCGGCTCTTTTATGACTCGTGGACTTCAACTCCCAGAATCATAAAAGAACCGAGGTTGCCTACCCCTGTCCTAGCCAAAGACAAGGCAAGTTGATCAATGAGTTTTGTAGCAATATGATGGATAGATATATAGATGGAAGATAGAACAATTTGGGGGAAAAATTACAACGCTCTGCTTTCTGTTGTGCCAAAAATAAAGATGAAAGAGAAAGAATTAAATAACTGCTAGTAGTATGAATTACAGAAAGTAGATTCTGTCTGAGTAGTTAGAACACAAAGTGTGTTCTACAAAGTGTAAATTGCTCGAATGTTCCTCTTTCTCTCTGTGTAGAAAAGAGTAAAAAACTGGAAAAAATATGGAACAATTAAAAAAAGGCAGCTTTTTTTTTAAATCTTGGCAACTGCATAATTAAATGAGGCTGAATGACTGTATGAAAGAAGAATGGTTTCTGTTTGGTTTTGCTTAGTTATAAAGTGACCTTTATATAACTATGAACAATGCAGTTTTCCTCATTAAGTAATTGTTTCATAGTTATTCTTTTTAAAGCTCTTTTAAATCTGGTATACTTTTGATTTACTGGAATAGTGAAATACGTCTTGTTTGTAATAAAAAATGCCAGAGGTCATAGAATCCTTATTTTTTTCCTAACCTTCAGAGTTTTGTGCTGTATACTGTCAAGCTAGATTGCTTATGATTGTATATTTTAAATTCTTCCATTAAAGATAATGGTTGATGAAATTTGCTTTGTGATCAGAAGTTTTCTGTGTTTAATATAAATGGAAATCTGTGTAAAGCAATGCACTGGGATTTGATACATGAATGCCATATACATTGATTGTACTTATCCATTATTTCAGCAAATATAATTTGGTAGAATCAAACTTTTATAACACTGAGTATAATTCTTCATGTGTCCAAAACCTAAAATTTCCTGCTTACTTCTCAAATGCTATTATTAAAGGAAATTTAAAATTTGTAAACTGAATTTTGAAGTCTAATCTAAATCCCAAGCAAATTCACATTGAATAGAAGAAAAAAAAAAGATTAATGCTGATAGTCTTATTCCAAGCTACAAGAGGTTTTTTTATTCATATTAAAAATTCATGCATTAAGAAGTAAACTACAAAACTGTTTGCTATAAAGTTCTTGTCTTTTAATTTTATACGTTGTGAGTAGTTTCTACAAAACTGAGTTTATATTTAACTCATCTTAAGTTAATTTTGTATTTAAACCCTTTTTTTTTCTATGCAGGTCCAGAATGTTCTTCATCAGGATGGTTTTCGGGTACTGATTCTCTGTGGCAAGCCACAGCAGGTCCACCCAGCCGCCAAAGTACCCATATCAGAAGACACAGCATAGCTTCTGACAGTGGGGACACAGGTGTTGGAACTTCCTGTTCTGATAGTGTGGAAGGTCAGTAGATATGCCTAAACCAAAGGACATCTAGTAGAAAATCAGAAATAATTGTTGTTTGAATAATTAAAAAGCAGAGAAAGATACAGAGACTTAAGGTGACTTTTAAAGACTAAAAGATGCAATATGATCTTAAGGATGATTTACTTTGGAATTAAAAGCCATTATGTTTTTTAAATTTAAATTCAGATTTAAATAAATAAAGTATGGGATTGCATTCATTGCATTCATATTTTTGTTTTCCTTCTATTTAAAAAAGTAATAATTTAATTTGAGAATGAATTAATATAATATAATATAATATAATACACACACACACACACACATACACAGCAGAATGCATATACTTTATCCTTGTTTACATGTTTTCTTAATTGAAGATGGTGGGATAAATTAGTTTTTCCCCTAGTGTTAGCTTTAAAATACTATTAAGGCAGAAGTCCCCAACCCCCCGGTCCGTGGACTGCGACATGTCAGAAACCAGTCCGCACAATCAAGTAAAGCCCCATCCTCAGGATGCAGGCAGCACACAAAACCATGGACCCTCCGGTCCGCAGAAAAAACACTTTTCCCAAAAGGTTTCCGCAATTTTGGCCACTACTATAAATCTTGCCTCCCAACACATTGCAGTTATAGTACCTTTCAAGAGAGTCTGGGAAAAGTACAGAATAATTTATCCCTCCTCCTGCTTGTAGCTTGATTTTAACAAACTTCAGTCTGGCTTATGATTGTTGTCCATTTCAAAAGTAACCTCAGCATGTTCTTTCTGTTTCCTGATTGTTTTTGCCAAACAAAGAATATTGATTTTAATATCTTTTTTCCTGTACTTGTCGAGTCTCCTTTTTTTCCTTTTTCTAAATGCCTACATTTCTTGTTCCTAGAAGAAATGCTAAGGAGTATCATAATAACTGCCAAAAAGATAAGCAATTGTGGGCACTATGGTAAAAGCCTCAGCTAAACATATTGTTTCAGATTTGTTTTTTGTTTCAAAAATATTATGCTGCTTGAAAATAAACTGAAGTACAAAACTGTTTATGCTCTTAAATACAATATGTTGAAAATACCTTAGGCCAGTGATGGCAAACCTTTTAGAGACTGAGTGCCCAAATTGCAACCCAAAACCCACTTATGTATTGCCGAGTGCTGGGTGGGTGTGGCCCACTCGGCAGGTGCAGCTACAGTGGGCTTGGCAGACTGGGTGGGTGTGGCCACTGGATGAGTGTGGCTGCAGTAATCATGGCAGATTGGGTGGGCATGGCCGGGGTGGACGTTGCCACCTTGATGTTGCTTATGGGGAGGGACACCTGTGGGAACCGGGCAGGGTTGGGGGAGATCCAGGGGGTTTCTGGCTGGTGGGATGGTGGGCTCCCCAATGGCGGCTCCAGGCTGGCTGGCCTTAGGCCAGTGATGGCGAACTTTTAGAGACTACGTGTGCTGGGGTGAAGGTGCGTGCACACAGAAAGGGCTCCGCGTGCTGCCTCTGGCACACGTGCCATAGGTTCACCACCACTGCCTTAGGCCTTAAAATTCAGAGGTACAATGCAATGAAAAAAGGTGAAGGAGATAAAAAAACAGCTATAGAGCGGATAGCCTTGCAGTGAACATTGGTTAACAGTTGAATGAGAATCTTGTGCTCAGTGGTTGCTTCACTTTATTTTTTCTTTATATCTGAACGTATTTCAGTTTTTTTAAAAAAGAAATAATAGTGGATGGAAGACAAGGATTTTTTTTTTTTTAAAAAAAGCCTGATTATTTTATAAGAGAGAAAGAAGTCATAATATTTATTCAGACTGACTGATTTTTATGAAAAGTCTATGAACTAATATTGTTATATGCTCCATTTCTTTGAATTGTATGATATTCCATGAGTAATGCTTCAGAGTTTAGTAAGGATTATTTTGGTTGAAAAATAGAGAATTATCATATATATTTTCTTAGATGAATGTTCTGTCTTTTCTCTGTCAGCTAAATATGTTGCCCATGACAGTCCTTTTTTGTGCAAAGCAGCATATAAGGAGACTGCTTTGCAAACATGGTTTTATCTGTATGGCAGGTTACTGATGATACTTCTCCCCAAAATTTTTGGATTACATAATGACTCATGATTTATTCTACTATGTTTTTCAATATTTGTATGAAGGTGTCAGTGAAATCATCAGGAAATACAGGCCCAGTGCTGTCTTTACTGGATGACGCTCAGATCTTCCCTTTCCCTTCCTTGCCAGATGTGTAGGCCTCCATAATCAACTCCTGCTTGATCCACATTGTAGTGTGGATGCAACATAAGCAAACTAAAACTGAATTCAGACAAGCCCGAGGCTTTGATTCTTAGTGATTACTCTTTTTGATTGGCAGTATACTGCTCCGCCTTTTGTGTTGAGGTTGCAGTTCCTCTAAAAGAGTACTTTCATAGTTTGGCGATACTTCGTAATCTTGCAACAGCCCTGAGTGCTCATGTGAATGCAGTGGTGATGAGGGCCAACTTTCAGTTACGTTTGATAAACATCACTTCACCGTTCTTTGATAAGGCTGACCTGGCTTCCAGTTGTGCTAGTTACCTCTCACATAGATCATAGGTACTCAACTTACAATCATAGTTGAACCCAAAATTTCTGTTGCTAAGTGAGATACTTGTTAAATGAATTGTGCCCCATATTACAACCTTTCTTGCCACAGCTAAGTGCATGACTGCATTTGTTAAGTTAGTAACATAGTTGTTAAATAAACATGGCATCCCCATTGATTTTGCTTGTTAGAAGATGGCAAAAGATGATCCATGACCCCAGGACACTACAGTCCTCATAAATACAGGCCAGTTGCCAAGGGTCCAGATTTTGATCATGTGTCCTCTAGAATGCTGCAGTGATAGTAAGTTTGAAAAATTGTCGTGTCACTTTTTTCAGTGCCATTGTAACTTCGGTTACTAAATGAATGGTAGTGAGTCGAGGACTTACCTGTATTGTAATGTACTTTAAACTGATATACCTTTGAAGTAAACCTGGAAATGATAACAGGTTCATAATGCTGGGTCTAGGTTTTTCTCTGGTATTACCTCTAAAGAGCTTGTGTTACCTATCTTGTTTCAATTGCACCAGCTTAATATTAATTTCTAAGTCAGACTCAGATTGCTTGTTTAAACATATAAATCCTTTAAAGCTTGGGTCCCAGCTACCTATGGGAAGATATTCCCCATTATGTCACCAACCTGAAAATCCATTCATCCTCCATGGATCTGTTACAATGCTGCTTAGAAAGAGGGCCTAGCAACCTCTAGTGGCAGAACCTTCTTGCTTGTTGTTAACTAGAATTGTGATGTTCCTTAACCTTATGGAATGCAGACTTTACTGTCGGAGCTTGATTTTAAAGTCCCAAGGGAGAGAGTTCCATACAGGTTTAATTCTGTCGTTTCTGAATTTAGAAATTAAGTTGAGGACTGTGTGCAGAGTATAGCTTTGAAATAATTAACAATGATCTGTAACTGGGCATTTAAGAATTAATTGTAATATATTGCACCTATCTACTTGCTTTCTCCTTATCATTTTAGATGCAAAGATAGAGTTCTTGTTGTTTTACCATGTTACATTGCATGCAAAAGAAATGGGTAGAATCCTGCAGAGTTTTTGAAGATACTGTAATTCATGGGTATCAAACTCGTCAAGTGAAGGGTCACGACGTATCACGACTCTTTGCATTGCCGGCAGTGGGGTAGGCATGGCTTCGGTATGATGAAACCGTCCTGAGGGCTGGCAGTTTGACACCCTTGCTGTAATTGGTTTAGATTCAGAATTGGGAAGAACAGAAGTTTTGAACTTAATCTCCCTTTAAGTGTAGGTTGCCTTCGCCCTTCATTCTTCATGCACCTCACAGATCCCTATGAATACAGAAATACGGTCTATGAAGTTGGGGAACCCTCTGAAGAAGTAAAGGAGGGAATGCCATAGGCTTAAAAACAGCAGCAACAACAACTAGAAAGCTAACCCCCCTTTTTCCATCAGAAAATCTTTGCTTGGATCCCCATTGCTTCTGTGAGAAGGAGGAGTCCTTAGAGGTCCAGTCTTGTTTCAAACCATTGCTTCTTAGACATTTTGTGTCTATGAAAATGAAGGAAATTAGCTAACTTTGATGGAGATTAATTGAAAATAAATATAATAAGGTGTACAGATCACTTTGTAAACCAGGAAAGGTAATTGTGGAAAACATTAGTTTCTCAAGGTAGCTTGTTAGTTTCAGAGGTTCCCAAAGTAATTGTTGCAGGAATATAGGAACAGACTCTCTATTAAAAGCTAAGTTATCTTTAAACTATTCATTTAATATAAATAATTAGTAATATTAATAATATGCATTTGGTGACATTATGTGCTCCAACTAAAAGGAAATATTCAAGTGATAATAAAGTAATATTTAATGTTAGAAAGGAAGAGGAAAGAAAAGAGTTGAAAATGTAGATATCTTTCAACATGGTAGAATTCCATGGAGAAAAGCAAAAAGCTTACATCCAGATTTTTTTCCCTTTCTAAGAAATGTACTTACTGGAGGAAGCAACTGTCTTGGCAGCATGTTGTATTGATTTTTAAGTTGGAGACTGAAAGTCTGTAAGAATCTGTAATAGTAGACTGTAATTAGTTGAAAAGTCAAATTGGCTGTAAATCAAAAATGGTTTTGTAGACCAACCTGCTCATTTTGTATTGAACTGGAGTTAAATATATCTCTCATTTTTCTATTGGTTTTTTAACTATTGCTAAGTAATCACCATTAAAAGGAATTATATGAATATTAACCTTTTGAATTTAAATATAGACATAATATTTTTCAATATAAAAAGTGCTATTACATAACTTTAATAGTTTAATGAGATATTGAAATATTGTGATTTTGAGAAGCATAGATATCAGAAATGTTATCTAATAACTATCTGTGTCTACTGAAAGTCTTTATTTATTATCTAAATTTAAAATATGGATATAAATATATTTGTTCTCCATATTTGATAAACGTGCACA